ACGGTCATCTCCTTCATCACTCCTTCAGTTTGCTGAGTAACACCCACAGAAGCTGTGGGAGTGAGTGCCCGGTTTCCTCCTTAATCTCAGCATTTCCCAGCAGTTCCCAGTTTTCTTGATCCCAGGAAGGTTTGCAAAGCAGGGAGGTGGCTGTATCTTTTGGTGGTCTGCCTGATGGAGCTGGGAATGAGACGGTTGTTGAGGCTCGTTCCCTTCATTGTGTCTGCAGCCAGCAGCAGTGCTCTGAGCAAAGGGTTGCTTTTCTTCCAGCTGTGTCAGTTGATCTAAATAAATTCAGTGTCATACATGTACATTAAATCCCCTACAACAAATCTTGCTTCCCTTTTGTCATGTAAACAAAGCTGTTCCTGACAACAGTCTGACCTATCACTTCCTTTCTTTCTGCATCATGCTTCAGCTCTTCTGTATGTGGGATCTGGAAATGCATTTCCAAGGTGAACAGGGCACCTGGAGAGTCGCATGGAGCGGTGCGAGTACCACGCAGGGCTCAGTTCTTGTTGCTGGGAAAGCAGCTGGGCAAGGCTTTCGGTGTCACACCCGAGGCACAGACTAACCTCTGCTCTTTCCTTGCAGGCGCCCGTGTTAATGCCAAGGACAATATGTGGCTGACTCCTCTTCATCGAGCAGTTGCTTCAAGAAGTGAAGTGAGTAAGGTTTGCTTACCCTGCTTTTGCAAGTAAACTACATGCTGGGGGAGAAACCAAACCGTTGGGAGCCTTGGCAGGCAGTGTGGTGACAAAAACAGGGAAAGCCTTTTCTGTGTGCAGGGCCTTTAGCATTGCAGCTGGAGGCCAGCTTTTATGGGTCAATTACTGCTGCTTTTGAGAACTGAGGTGGTTGATTTCTGCTTTGTGGAATTCTTTATGTTACTGTAGCAAGTCATCTGGAGCAACCAGCCCCTGGCGAGGGTGACCAGGGCTGAAGTAGGAGAGAGTCCACAGTGGTCTACAGTGGCCACACCATATTCCAGAGGTGAAGTAGAGCGGAATAAACCCATATGGATGTGTGCACGCTGTGAGTGTGCCAGCAGGGAGTGGATGTGTGTGTGATCCAATGCGTATTACCGCATGGTTTGTTTTGGTTAAGTGCGTTTCAAGGCATCCATTAGGTTTTCTGCTAATGCATTTGAATCATACATAAAGCAGGGTTAGCCCCTCTTTCTTCTGCTTGACAACTAGAAATCTCCTGGCATCACATGTTACTTTTTCTGTTGCTATCTCCAACAGCAGTAGCTATCAGGAATGCAGCTCAGGCATGACTCTGTTTTCAACTGCACCATTATTTTTGTCTTTCCAATTTGGACCTCCCTGTATACTTTTATCCTCCTAATACTTAGTCAAGAGTACGCCCCACTGCAGACCGAATTGGCTGCTGGGGGCGAGGGGAGGGGTTCTAAAAGAGACAGAGGGTGGCTGTCTTCCAGAGACTGATGGACTCGAATCACCTCCGTAACAGTCCCAGCGCTTGCCAAGCCTGGAGGCAGGAATCCTGGGCTCGCTTCTGAACTTGGGCATTGTTTGGCTGCTGGCTGAGCTTCCCAGCTGCTGGCATCTGCTGAAACCCTTTGAAAGGAATATCTGATAGGGTATGAATGCTGTAATGAGGCAAAATACAAAAAGCCATGTTGGAAAACAAAGGTCAGGCTTCAACTTTAAAACCCAGCCACAATCTTTCTCATGCAGTAGTGTTTGGTTTCTTTTTTTGGATATGTCAGAGTACATGATTTTTATTGTCAGTGACAGTCCTAACAGAAAATGTATGTCTTTCTATGAGTTTGTGTCTCATCTTTACCTCTCTGTCAGCTGAAGTGCATAAAGAGACACTGTCGCCCACCGTGCCGGCAGTTCTGGTACCTCGTAGCGCGTACCCAGGTACAGTAGTGAGGCAGCAGGAGAAGGCCCCAGCCTTTGATGTCATTTCACGGGCTGCTCTGTGTTTTAGAAACACACATAGCTCCCTTCTCCTGGCCCTTTTCCTTTGTTTTTTATATGGTAATTGCTCCTTTTGCTAATCAGGACAAGGGGTAATGGTGGTGGTGTGTGTTAGATTAAATATCAAGAAGAAGTTCTTCACAGAGAGGGTGGTGAGGCACTGGAACAGGTTGCCCAGAGATGTTGTGGATGCCCCATCCCTGGATGTCTTCAAGGCCAGGCTGGATGTGGCTCTGAGCAACCTGGTCTAGTGCAAGGTGTCCCTGCCCATGGCAGGGGGGGTGGAACTAGATGGTCTTTAAGGTCCCTTCCAACCCAAACCATTCTATGATTCTATGATTCTATGATTAAAAACATGAACAGATTTTTGCTTATGTCTTAATGATTTTTCAAGTGGGCTTTAGGGATTTAAATGTTTATTTATGAATCAACAACCCTCAGGTGTGTGTGTGCAGGATTTTTAATGGATGTATCAGCTTTCAGCCTTATATGGCTTGAAAAGTAAAGGGCGTTCACTCGGATAACTTGGGATAGCTAGAGACACAATTGAATAGAGAGGGTTACGCCTTAGCTGTTGACTGCATACACATGTAGAAGTTGTGTTAATAAAAAGGTGTAGCTCATGCTGTCAGAAGCAGTAAAATGAGAACTTCTCCATAAGGATTTTAACATTCTGATCCCAAATTTGATAGAGCAGCGGATTTGCAGATGTAAACAAATTGTGTAGATGTTTTCTAAAAAGACAAGATTTTTTTAGCTTAGACTTTTCAGCCCTTACTGTTTAATTCTAAAAATTCTCCTTTTACTTTTCCTTTCTTCATTAAGAGTCAAATGCCTGAATTTTCCT